AGCAACTGCGGGAGGAGAGGAGACTGCACCAACTGCTAGGGCCCTGGATGCAGTCAAGAAGGTGCAGCAGCCACAGCAGCCTCATGGTGAGGTGCTTGCTGGTGTGGATGCGACAGCTGCATGGGCAAAGGCTTCATCCGGGAGTGGTGAGGCCGATTGGGAGACGTGGCATGAGAGGCTGTGTCACATCATCATTTCCATGCTGCAGAAGTTGGTGAAGGATGGGAGCTTGAAGGGGTTGGAGGTGAAGGGGGTAGCAAAGGAGATTGGGAGCTTCCCAACATGCCTTGAGACCAAATTCACAAGATTTCCCTTCAGCAGCAGCACGGGACCACGAGGATGTGGTGGGCCCCACGAGGGCCCTTTCTCTCTCGGGCAGCCGCTACTTCTTGACCATTGTGGACGACCACACGCGTGCGGTGTGGGTCTACCCTCTCAAGATGAAGGAGGAGGTGGCAACTGCTGTTCTCAAGGAGTGGATGCCGAGAGCACAAAGGGAGAGCAAACACAAGGTGAAGGTGATCCGTACTGACAACAGAGGAGAGTTCATTGGCAATGAGTTTGAGGCGGTGCTGAAGAAGGGTATTTGGCATTAGCTCACAGTGCCCTACATAGCTCAACAGAACGGCGTGGCTGAGCGGTTCAACCGGACCCTACAGGAAGGTGCTCGCACTCTCCTTGGGCGTGCAGGGCTGCCAGCTCCGTTTTGGGTGACTGCGCTGCGGCAGGTCACTCTTGTGAAGAACAGGGCGTTGGCGACTGTGGGGGAGAAGCAGTAGGTCCCCTACACCAAGTGTTATGGGAGTGCACTGCCATACAACATGCTGAGAGCCTACGGGTGCATGGTGGTGTTTCATGTGCCGAAGGAGAAGAGGGGAAAGGTGAAGCTTCTGGGAGATGGGGTGTGCACTTGGGACTTGCTAAGGATCACAAGGGCTGGTTGATATGGGACTTGACCAGCCAGCAGCTGACTGTGTCGAGGGATGTGAAGTTCCTCGAGTCCTTGTACTACAAGGAGTAGAAGCAGTTGCAGCAGAAGCTTCCTACAACACCGCTTATCATTAAGGTTGATGAGGTGCAGCGGCCTTCGAGGCAGGTGGAGGTTTCTGTCTCTGAGGTGGAGGAGCAGTAGCAGCAGCAGCAGCAGCAGCAGCAGCAGCAGCAGCAGCAGCAGCAGCAGCAGCAGCAGCAGCAGCAGCAGCAGCAGCAGCAGCAGCAGCAGCAGCAAGGTGCTCCACAAGGTCCCGCGCGTTCGGCTGACTGTCCTAGGAGGGATGTGCGCCCTCCTAACCGGCTGACCTATCCGAGCTTTGGCAAGCCAAAGGTGGTAAGGGCTGGGAGTGTGGCTGAGAAGTGTGATGAGGAAGAGATAACACACGCTACTGGGCAGCCGTCCCTGAGCCAAAGACGCTAGCAGAGGTGGTCCTTGAGTGGGCCCGATGCTGAAAAGTGGAAGCAGAGTGTGAAGAAGTATGACTCTCAGCTGAAGAACGAGACGTGGGAGCTGTGTGAATTGCCTCCTGGGAAGAAGGCCATTTCTTCCAAGCTGATCTTCAGGCACAAGTACGGACCAGATGGAGAGCTGACCCGCTACAAGTCAAGGCTTGTGGCTAAGGGGTCTAGCAGACAAAGGGCAAGGACTTTGACGAGATCTTTGCTCCTGTGGGGAAAGGGACAACACTGAGAGTGTCATTGGCAATGGCTGCAAACCGTGGATGGCGGGTGAAGCAGATGGACATCACCACTGCCTTCCTCAATGGGATCATTCTGGAGGAGCTGTACATGCTGCAGCCTGAGGGGTTGGATGATGGGAGCGGCAGGGTGTGCAGGCTGAAGAAGGCCATCTATGGCCTGAAGCAGGCTCCTCGTGCATGGTACCACAAGCTAGAGGAGACACTGCTGGCTGGGGGGTTAAAGAAAAGTGAGTGTGACCACAGCCTGTTCCTGCTGCAAGAGAAGGAGCAGTTTCTCATGCTCCTGGTGTATGTGGACGACATCCTGCTCTTATCTAAGTCATCTGAGATGATTGATCATGTGAAGGAGATGCTGGAGATGCAGTTCAAGTGCTCGAAGATGGGAGATGTGAAGTACTACCTTGAGAAGTAGGTTGCACCAGAGGAAGTACTGTGAGGGGCTGGCCGAGAAGTATGGGCTGCAAGATGGAGGAAAGCCAGCAACCCCACTACCTTCGGGGTTCACAGTGGAGCCCTGTGCTGATGAGGAGGTGGTGGGCGAGAGTGACAGGAAGCCATTTCATTCCATGGTTGGGGCGCTCAACTATGCGGCCAACCACACGCGGCCTGACATAGCCTTCGCAGCATATCAGGCTTGCGAGTGTGGTTTCTCGCCCCAGTCATGAGCAGCTGGAAGCGGCCAAGAGGTTGGTCCGCTATGTGAGTGCTACAGCATCAGTGGGCTTGGAGTACAGTGCTGTGCGACAGAGGCTGCAGAGGGGTGCAGCTGATTTGAGCAAGGGGGAGATGCTCTTGACCTGCTATACCGACGTTAGCTTCAACTCAGTGAAGGCGGATGGCACCAGCATTGGAGGCTATGTGTGCCTCTTTGGAGGTGGTGCAGTGAGCTGGCACAGCAAGAAGCAAAACGAGGTGGGGCTATCCTTGTGTGAGACCGAGTACATGGCCCTTCATCATGGGGCCAAGGAGGTGGTGTGGCTGAGGCGCTTGCTGGAGGAGATTGGTGTTCCTCAGAGGAAGCAACAGTGAGTCTGCATTGAAGCTGGCCAAGAATGCTTGTCTTCATGGCCTGACAAAGCACATCAGGCCTAAGTGGCATTGGACAAGGAGGCTCCTGGACAAGGAGGTGCGGCTGGAGATTGTGAAGACCCAGCAGCAGGCGGCTGACATTCTCACCAAGCGCCTGGCAGAACCTGAGCATTGGAAGGGCATGAAACTTGCTGGAATGAGTGTGCATTGAGGGTGCATGCTTGAGCTTTTGCATGTGGGATGATGGTTGGCAGCCAAAGGGGGAGTTTCTTGTGTGATGCTATCATTCACATTCACGTCTGTCTGCCTCCCATCATATGATTGTGTGTTGCATGTGTGGTGTGAGCGTGTGGCAAAAAATGTGTGTTTCGTGTGGTTTGGATTTTCTGAGTGTGTGTGAAGGTTGTTTGACTTGAGCAGATATCTGAAGTGACTCATCTGCTCAAGAGCTTTCCGACGATCCAAGAATCATTACGATCGGAACAAGAACGACGAAGTTATGATCGTTCGAAGTTTTGATTGTGTTGCGACCACTTTGGGAAGTTGTGAAGTGACTCAATATGGGGTACAGACTTTTGGGGGTTGGGAAATTCGTCCCCATCACTGTAGATGCTGCCAAGTGGTTGGGAGAATCCAAACCTGGTCGGCAAGTGTGGCCAAGTTGGGTGAGGTGGATGGCATGATTTGGGAAAGTGACAAAAGTCAAAGTTGGGTTGCCTATGGAGAGGGGAATAGTGTGGTATAGGGTTCCTTTGGTTGGGGACTCCCTTGGGACCTTCCCTCTCGTCCTTCTCTTCCCTTCTACCTGGTTTCCAGCTACTCTAACATTCTTGTGGAAGTTGTGAGATAATTGTGATTAAGTTTCTGTGGCAAAATACCCCCCTAGTGCGCCGAATTTTATAACTCGAGTTCTACTCCATCTTTTCATACGATTCAAATTGGGAAATATAGCCACGGTTAAGGGCTATAACATACCCAAGTTTGAGACAATTCTAACTGTGACGGTGTTTCGTCGACGGTGTTTCTTGTAAACTCGACTTTTCTAACCAGGATTCTAAGCCAACGATTTTGTGATATTTCGGCCCCTAAACGTTCTAGACTCCGTCCGTAGTTTCTAGTACTTAGTTTCAGCCGCTAACCACACTATAGTACTTCATCCTTCCTCTATTCCACGGATTTTTACCCTGCCGTCTCCTCCAACGTCCTCTCTTCCTAACGTTCCTGACCCTGAGTCTGACGCTCTTCGTGCTGCTAGTCCTACTGTCACAAGTGTTCTAGCCACACTTGTCACTGACCCTACTTTTAAGTCTGTTGCTGCGTCTGCCATAGCGACTGAGCTTGTTGACTTTGCTGCTGCGTGTCGTCTCAACTATATCGCTTTCGCTTTCAGTTCTCCTCGCCACAGCTCACTCCTTTACCTACGAGTCATTTGCTCTTAGCTGTCGAACTATATAGGTTGTGTTGTAATTGTGTAGGCTGTAGTGGGGTAGCCAATATGGTGTACAACCCCTTTAAGGTTTCATCCCAACTCTGATCTAGTTCATTCATTCCTGCCTAGACTTTCTGACATGGTTTCAGAGCAGTAGGTCCGTAGGACCGTCTTTTTTTTTTTTTCGGGCCCACCTACCGCTACCCCACGACTGTGACTGTGACGTCTGCTGCCTGCTGTCTGAGCTGTCTATTGCTGCTTCGCGCGCAGACCTAATCCCCACGCTGCCCGCTGTTGCCCCGCGCGTCGCCCTCGCTCCTCGCGCCGCGCCTCAGCAGCTCGCGGCCCGCTGCTGCCCCGCGCACCGCGCGCCTGCTCGCGCCGAGCCTCGGCAGCCCGCGTGCGGCCCGTTGCTGCTTCGCGCGCCGCCCGCGCTGCTCGCGCCGAGCCTCAGCAGCCCGTGCGCGGCCCGCTGCTGCCCCGCGCGCTGCCCGACCTGCTCGCGCCACACCTCCGCAGCCTGCGCGCGGATCATTGCTGCCCTGCGCGCTGCCAGCGCTGCTCGCACACCGCCCAAACAGCCCACGCGCAGCTCGCGGCTGCTCTGCGCGGTGCCCTTGCCACTTGCGCGCTACCTCTGCAGCCCCGCGCACAGACTCACTCTGCCTGCTGCCTTTGCCTGCTGCCTTTGCCTGCTGCCTTTGCCTGCTGCCGTCGCTTGCTGCCTTTGCCTGCTGTCTTTGACTGCGGTGCGATTATGGCGGCGCGCGTTCAATGTTCTCGCGTTTGAGCCTGACGGTCGCCCGATAGAGTTTGCCACTTGGCTCGACGACCTGCAACTGTTTCTTATGACTGATGCCAAAGACGGAGTCTCACTGTTCGATCACGCGTCTTGCACTTCCGTCGCTCTTGCTGACACTGCTGCCGCCCTTGACCGCTCACAATGGCAGACTCGTGATGCTGTTACGCGCCTCGCTATTCGCAACCATCTGCCGATCACTGAGCGCGCGCATTTTAGTCAGCACAAGACTGCTAAGGCACTGTATGACACTGTAGTTGCGCGTTACTCTTCCCAAGCCACTACAGCCCTAGGTCGCCTCATCCTGCCCTACCTGTTCCCTGACCTATCCTCCTTTGCCACTGCTGAGGACCTCATCTCTCACTTTCGCGCTAGTGACACTCGCTTTCGTGCCGCTCTTCCAGCCGATTTCCTCGCCAAGAATCCTCCCCCGATGTACTTTACCCTCTCGTCACCCGCCTCCGTGACACTCTTGGCTCCGTCAGGGACCACTTTCTCGCCGAAGACCATACCACTCTTACTGTCGACGACTTCGAGCAGGAGCTCCTAGCAGCAGATAAGAGCATTCTCGTTGTAGGCACTGCTCGTGGCACTCCCCGCACTCCCCTCTTTGAGGGGTGCTCCCCCTCCCCTCTTGCCCCCTCCTACGCCTCTTCTGCTGCTGCCGTCGATTTCCTTGGTGCTGAGCAGGTAGCAGCTGCTTCCGCTCCTAGTGGGAAGCGCCGCAACGCCAGGGGCAGCAAGGGAGGTAGGGGTGGTGGAGGTGGGGGTGCAGGAGGCGGTGGTGGGGGCGGCGGTGGAGGCGGAGGTGGCGGGGGTGGTCGTGGGGGTGGAGGTAGTGGGTGAGGTGGCGGTGGTACCGGGAGCGGTGGAGGTGGCAGCGGCGGTGGTAGGGGAGGCGGTGGTGATGGAGGCGGTGGAGGGGGCTCCAGTGGTGGCCATGGACAGCAGCAGCAGCAGCAGCCGCAGCAGCAGCAGCAGCAGCAGCAGTGTCAGCACCAGACCCCCACGTCTCAGCAGCTTCATGACTGGTACGCTCAGCGTGGGGCGTCTGGGGGTTCTGGTCGCTGCCCCTATATCATTCGCGCAGGTCCCCGCGCTGGTCGCCCATGCAACGGCTTTCACACTGAGTAACGCCTGGCGCGCCAAGTACCCTGATGCTACTGAGTTCCCCAACTGGGCAGACCTGCTTAGGCGTGATGTTCCTATCTTTGATCTTGACTATGATGCGATTCTTGCTGCCATGTATGCATTGTCTGTTAGAGGGTGACTGCTACTTGTGTATGCCGCCTGACCCAGGTATAGAGACTGCAGCCCTAGGTGCTAGTGAGTCTGCTCTCCCTGGTACAGCGTCGGACCAGGCCTTGCACACCTTTACACTTGACTCTGGTGCTTCCCGCTGTTTCTTTCGCGACAGTACCGAAGTCCCTTCCCTCCCTGCACCTGTCCCTGTCTCACTGGCTGACCCCTCTGGGGGGGCAGTACTTGCACGGTCCACTACCGTGCTTCCATGCCCGTTGGTCCCGTCTGGTGAGCTGTCAGGTCTCCACATCCCCTCGTTCTCTACGAACCTAGTGAGCAACGCCATCCTTCAGGATCATTGGGTTGATACCTTTACTCCTGGAGAACAGCGTGTGGCGATCTGCACGTGCTCCAAGACTGGCCGCAACCTGATCACGTTCACACGTGAGCCTGGGTCCAGTCTGTACACCCTCACCACTATGTCACGCTACACCCCGTTGTCTCCTCAGCTGTACGCGTTTACTCAGGTAGCTACCCAGTGTCAGTTTCGTCGCCTGTCGCACGACACTCTCCTGTGGCACCACCGCCTTGGTCAACCCTCCCTGCCCCACCTTCGTGGCATGCACTCTCGCTCCTTGGTCTCTGGTCTTCCCAGGTCTCTGCCCTCCCTCCCTCGCCTGCGCCGCCTTGCATTCCTTGCGTCGAGGGGCGGCAGCGCGCCGCTCCTCACTCCTCCTCGTTCCCTCCCACAGAGGCTCCACTGCAGACTCTCCACCTGGACGTGTGGGGCCCAGCCCCCGTCCAAAGGCAGGGCCGCGAGCGGTACTTCCTGCTGGTCGTCGACGACTACACGCGTTACACCACGGTCTTCCCCTTGCGCAGCAAGGGGGACGTCCCTGCTGTTCTGATCCCCTGGATCCGCGCTGTTCGTCTCCAGCTTCGTGAGCGGTTCCATTCGGACTTTCCTGTCCTGCATCTGCACTCTGACAGAGGTGGTGAGTTCACCTCCGACCTCTTGCGAGCCTTCTGTGAGGAGCACGGCATCCGCCAGTCGTTCACGCTTCCAGCCTCTCCGCAGCAGAATGGGGTTGCTGAGTGCCGCATTGGCTTAGTCATGGAGGTCGCTCGTACCTCCATGATCCATGCGGCTGCCCCCCATTTTCTGTGGCCGTTTGCGGTCCGATACGCTGCGCATCAGCTCAACCTCTGGCCCCGTGTCTCCTTACCGGAGACTTCCCCGACACTGCGGTGGACGGGAGAGGTTGGCGATGCGTCGCGTTTTCGGGTCTGGGGTGCTCGTGCCTTTGTCCGCGATCTCACCGCGGGCAAGCTCTCTGCTCGCGCGATTCCCTGTGTCTTCCTTGGCTTTCCTCCTGACGCGCGTGGCTGGCAGCTATACGACCCCGCCTCGCGCCGTGTCTTTGCGTCTCAGGACGTCACCTTTGACGAGTCAGTCCCCTTTTACCGTCTCTTTCCCTACCGCACTGCCCCTCTCCCCCCCCCCCGCCGCTCTTTCTCACTCCAGGTCCTCCGCAGGTAGACCCTCTTCCCCTTCTAGGTCCTGCTCCTTTAGGTGTGTCTCAGGTAGATCCTTCCTAAACTGAGCCTGTTGAGGTCACTGGTGACTCAGGTCCTACTGGGGGTGGTCCTGCTAGGGGTGCTGAGCCTGAGTGTGCGGAGCCTGGGGGTGCTGAGCCTGGGGGTGCGGAGCCTGGGGGTGCTGAGCCTGAGCGTGAGGAGCCTGGGGGTGCTGAGCCTGGGGGTGCGGAGTCTGGGGGTGCTGAGCCTGAGCGTGAGGAGCCTGGGGGTGCTGCGCCTGAGCGTGAGGAGCTTGGGGGTACTGGGTCTGGGGGTGCTGAGTCTGGGGGTACTGCACCTGAAGGTACTGAGGCTGCTGGTGAGCGGTCTCCGTAGAGTGGCCGCCTACGTAGTCTCCCTAGTTGTACCGCGTGCGCCTCTCTCCCCGCAGCAGCTGCACGAGTGGTACGCTCGCCGTCAAGGTCGAGCTAGAGCTCGGCGCTCTGCCACTGGTGGCGCTGCTGGCGCTGGAGCTGGGGGTGGTGCTGGTACTTTGTTTGCTGGAGTTCCTGGAGTCGCTGGTCCCGGAGGTGCTCGTACTGGAGGTACTGGAGCTGCTAGGGCTGGAGGTACTGCTGGACCTGGAGGTGCTGCTGTCGACCCTGGAGTTGGAGGTGCCGCGTCTGGGGTTGTTGCTGCTGGAGACACTGAGACTGGAGACCCTTGGACAGGAGGTGCCGGTTCTGGGGGTGGTGCTGCTGGTGGCGCTGGTACGGGAGGAGCTAGCGCTCAAAGTTCTGGAGCTCCTGGAGGTGCTGACACTGGAGGCCCTGGCGCTGGAGGTTCTGGAGCTGCTGGTGACGCTGGTACTGGCAGTGCTGGTGCTAGAGGATCTGGGAGTGCTGGTGGTGCTGGCGCTTAAGGAGCTGGAGCTGGAGGTGCTGGAGCTGCTGGAGGTGCTGGAGCTGCTGGAGGTGCTGGAGCTGCTGGAGGTGGTGGAGCTGCTGGTGCTGGGGGCACTGCGCAGCCACGACTGTTCTTTGCTCCGCCGTCTCCGTCGTCTCAGCCACCTCCGCCAGGAACCTTGTGAGTGGCACGACACACCGAGGACTAGGGTTCTTGGGTTTGCTCCTTCGACAGCTGACCCGTCACTGTTTCTGCGCACTGACACTTCGCTGCCGCCGTTCTACATCCTCGTGTACGTCGACGACTTAGTCTTTGCCACTGCTGACACTGAGGCTCTCGCCCTGGTGAAGTCGGAGCTGCAGAACAGACACACGTGTACAGACGTGGGTGAGTTGGGGCGTAGTTACCTTGGCTTGCAGATCACCCGGGACCGAGCACGCCGCACCATCACACTGACTCAATCACACATGGTGCAGCAGGTCCTTCAGCGCTTCAGCTTCACCTGGTCCTCGCCACAGTCCACTCCTCTGGCTAAAGGTCACTCGCCCTTCAGACGAGTCTCTAGAGCCGAATGGTTCGTACCCTTGTTGACCTAATTACCATTCCCATAGTCGAGTAAGTTCAACAAGTCGTAATATACTGCCAGCACGCGAGGATACACCACAAAGTATAGATTGTCGCTTCCATTGTCGTAACAAGCTTGAAGTTATTATACATGTTAGCGTGTCGCATAACTTAGCGAATCGGCGAAAGAAGATATCTAGGCACATCTGAGAGATTGCACTGTAGGTTGACCTGAATCGCTCGTCTCTTCCCCGCACCAAAACGGGTGGATAAGTACAAAGTCAAATATACGAGAGCTGAGGTTAGCGCGCACAAGGTGCATCTCGTTGGGCTGAGAAAAGCCCTTAGGATCTTTCAAGGCTAAGGTCCTAAGTAGGAATATTGTAATTGCGGAAGCGTTCTTAATGAAGTATTGAACCACCTTGCGCTAGTGTGTGACAGCAAGATAGATTTATTATAGCAATGGAATACAAGCTTTTTATAAGATTACAAGGAATATGAAAAGATGCAACTTAACTGTTGTTGTAGCAGTTCGATACAGTGACGACTCGGGCAACTGCTCAATACCGAGTCAGTTGTTTGTCCTTGCTGTCGTGCTATATTTCGGCGAGTCAAAGGTCGTTGACCTTTGACCTTCGTATAACCTCCAGTTGTTACTTTCTGCCAACCTCTTCGGTTGACTCGCCGTTGCTTCGATATGATTCGCCTCGTTTGCGGTATATTGTTTCGACACATCAGAAGCGTTAAATTACTTGTTTCCAACACTCCCCTTCGCTTCTGGAGTGTCGTTGCTGGTGACGTGGCTTTGTCCAGTCAGCAGCATGCAGTACTCGAACTTCTGCTTTCCAAGTTTCTTGGCCAAGTAGTCGGCTGCCATCTTGGATGTAGGACAGTAGGATAGCTCGAGTCTCACCTTCTCAATCTCGTCCTTCATGAAGAAGTACCGAAGTGCGATGTGCTTCGTTCGATTCGCGAACCCATTCTTGTTCGCTATGCGAATGGCCGATTGGTTGTCGCAGAATAGGGAGAAGCTGGGTATATGAGCCAGCTTTGCTTCTTCCAGTAGTTCGCGAAGGTACAATCCTTCCTTGGTGGCTGAGCAGAGTGCGATATATTCTGCTTCAGCTGAGGAGAGAGCAATTAACTCTTGTTTGCTCGACTGCCACGAGATAGGTCCGATAGGCTCGAATTGGTAGATGTAGCCGGTGCGTGATCGCCTGCTGTCAGAGTCGCCGGCATGGTCAGTATCCACGTAGCCGATTAGCTCGGCCGTCATGGTTCCGGTTTTGTGGTAGGTTAGGCCGATTGTCAGGGTGCGAACAAGATAGTGAAGTGCGCGGTCGAGCTCCACCATGTGTTCTGCTTCAGGCTTCTCAAAGTAGGTGGCGTGTTGGCTTGCTGAGTACGATAGGTCCGGTCGGCAGGTGACAGCTGCGAAGAGTATACATCCCAGCTTTCGCTAGTAGTCGCGTATGGCAGCGGATTTGAGTAGGGCGGAGGCTTCCTTGCGATTTCCATCGCTGTAGCGGTATGGCATGGTGATGGAAGATGGGGTCGGTCCGAAGCGCTTGGCGATGGTGTCGGCGTATTTTGTGGCACTGAGGTAGATGGCGTTCTCCCCGTCTTGTATGTTGAGTCCTAGGTACTGTGTCACGGTAGTTGAGACGGTGAGTGTGAGGTCCTGCTGCAGCTCCCCTTCGAACTAGGTCGTGATGCCATCGGTTGAGCCGATGTAAAACAGATCGTCCACATAAACGATGAGCGATATGTAGTCGGCGCCATTTGTGAGTCGTGCGGTAGTTGGCGAAATCCGATGCGAATCAGTCGGGCGTGTAGATACTGCTGCAATAGTCTCGGAGCTTGTTTAATGTCATATAGAGACTTCAGCAGTTGACAGAACTGGTTGTGATCTGCATTAGAGCCGTCCGGTTACTCGACGAAAATTTCAGCATTGACAGGAGCGTACAGAAAGGCGTTAGCAACATCGATTTGACAGAGCTTCTTCTGCTTCATGGCAGCTATCGCGAGAAGAATCTGCAG